TATTTCTCGACAGACTTTCCCACACAGACGTTATATCATGACCAACGCTCCCTCTAAGCTGCAAGGGTCTGTCCATAGCAATCGGCATGCCAACACTGGTCACAGGTTGTCCTCCAATCCTGGAAGTCACTGCCATGCAGGGACATCAGAGGTTCATGCAGAAGAAAACAAAGTTTAGTGAGAACACTGATCATGAATGATGCTTGCTCACATGCATTACCACGAGTGCATTCTCAATACAGTCTTTAATCAGGAGCTTTGGTTCTTCCCCTGAAGCTGTTCAGCTTGCTACTCATTGGCAAGATGAATATCAGACCAGAAGCAGTTCTTCCTTCGTCTGTAGCATTAAGCAAATGCACATGGGGAGTCTCTGCCTAGGTTTGTTCTAAAGGTTCAATTTCTTTCAACAAAACCTAAGCCTCAAATCATAACAGGGACAACTTCGGCCTTCTTCATGGTCATTGCCGGGGGTTTCAACTGTTTGACCATTAGTCAGGCATCTTTCTGCCTTGCCTCCCATGACTTTGATGCCTGTTCTGTGGAGTATGCCAACTATGCCAGAAATGTAATGAGAGTTTTTAACACATGGATGGGCCAAAAGTCGTGAAGCACAGATTCCTTATTTTACTGGCGTAAAGTTTTTTGGTGCATTTCGGGAAATTAAGGGCTCTTTCTGGCAGACATCCTTTCCTGCAGAAAGAGTCCACTCGACTGCTTGAGCTCCATTGCTTGGTGCCCTCCATCAGCATTGACACCTGGTCCTGGAGGTCCTACACTAGAAGTAGGAATAAGATTAATTACTTGATCATTTGTTTTAGTGTTTTTGTTTCAGCAATAAATATTGGCCATCACTCCAGGCAAACTTCATTCCCTTCTTATAAAAAACCATTCAAAATATAGCTTCTGCCAGAGTAGGCAATTTAAAAAAAAAATGTTGATGCTAAGAGGATTATGTGGTTGTAGATTGGGTAGAAAGACTGGACTCCAAAATATATCAGCAAAATACTACAGATGCTGAAAATTTAAAATTAAAAATATAAGATGCTAACACTACTCCAAACATCTGACAGCATTTGTGAGACAAATAAAGAATTACAGCTTTGAGTCTGTGGTTTATCCAGTTCTGATAAAAGGCCAGATTTGAAACGTTAACTTGGTTTCTCTCTTCACAGATGCTGCAAGATCTGCTGAATATTTCCAAATATTCTGTTTTCATCTAAGATTTTGCAGCCTGTTATGCAATTGCAGGGTGATACTTGACCTGTTCCGAGCATGCCAATAAACATGACAAGATGAGAAAAGGATGTACTTCACTATTGCGCATGGCAAATGCCCATAGCTAAGGCCAGTTGTCCCAGCCTAATGTAAACGTATGTCTAATACAGTTCAGCCGATACGGGCTATTCAAGTCTTCAAAATTCAAGTATTTTAGTTATGCCTTTTATACAAATGTAATTTTTAGTCAGGAATTTGAAATGGAATATTTGGAGAAGGTAATATATCAGAGGCGAACACAAGTGATTAAGGAAGGGAGTAAAAATAAATTGAATGGGAACATTTGATCCACAACCCTACTCTAAATTAAGCTCAAAGCCAATGACAGCCCCTTTTCTTGCTACATCTCACCATTTCCCAAAACAAAAGGAAAATACTCAAAAGAGCACGGAGATAAACATGAACATAAAAAGCAACGAGTTGGTAATCTGTATTACCATGTGCATCTGGGAGAATCATGTTAAAAGTCTTGCATCCAATATGCAGTTCTTGTTTGTAACATTTACTTCATGAAGAAGTCACAATCACAACATGCCTGAATGATCAAACAATAGACTTGGAACTGTCTTTGGATTTTAGTGTTTGTACAGTTCTATATTTACCATAATTTGCTTTTCAGTCCACCCAGTGCTGGATGCCACTTTTACATGTTGCTTCTCAATAATAATGCAGATATATTCAACTCTTACTCAAGTTTTACAAGTCAGTTTTGCTTCCTCAGTCAGGCAAATTTTGGTTCCATTTTATTCCCTACACATGAATATATTTTAACATATAATTAATTTTACACCTTGGCTCCTTTTGCCCTCAGATATCAAAGCAGAAATCAGAGATTCTATGAAAATGCATTCCACTGTTATCTAAAGAAGTTTAATCTAAAATTCAATCGGTGACCTAATCGAAATTACACAGGTTTCTGTTCAATCTCTGGACAACACTAGCAGATATTTTGTATCTAAAGTCACTCTGCATGGAAGAAACGCAGTTATGTATATTATATATGTTTACATGTACTTTCAAGTTTTAGCCTTTAACTCTTGGTCTTTATTGTTAACGTGGGTAATAGCAGGATATTGCCTTGCTTATGGATTCTTCGTATGACTTGTATGAACTGCATTGTAAGGCGTGAGATTTTCTTATCTTTATTATTTATGTTTGAGCTTGGATTTTTTACATTGAATTTTCTGTAATCATGGTGATTTCTTTTAAAAAAAACACTCAGACATTTTACAGTCTAAGGGGAATTTATTTACATTGGGAGAGTTTAGGAGAGATTAAACAGCATTGTGAATTAAGCTTTTAGATGGAATTTTGTTTGTGCTTAAATAAGTCTGTAGCTTGGAAAGAAGGGTTTACTCTTCATTTCAGTTTAGGCAATTCTAAAAAGTACTTGTGTACGTGTAAAGCAATTGCTCTTGTTGAAAGGATAAGATTGGCATATCTCTTGAAGAAGGGAGAAAGTTTAGAATTATTAAAAATAGGATACCTTAGAGTAAGGAATGTAGTAAAAGTTCCAGGCTAGGAGGAGTTATTTAAACCTGAGCAAGTTTATACTGATATTTTATATCTGAAGAGATTTATACATTTATATTTATAAAGATTACTTATTTGGCAAATCAAGAAAAAGGATATCAGATTCTCAGAACTGGGAGTCGAAGTCACTGTTAAATTAAGCCCTACACAAGAGATAAGGAAAGAAATTATCTCTGGTGTGAGTACTGCAAGAGGTTGCTTTTGGGATTAACAGGATTATATTTTTGCTACGTGTTTCAAAATCTGTGTTATATTTAAAAATTACAATTTTCCGTCATTTCTTTTGCATAATAATCTTCTTTTATTGTTAAAGCCAAATCTGCAGGATTACACACAGTTAGAGACCACTTCCTTAAAAACAAAACAAAATATGATCTATCAAGACAGATTTAAGCCTAAGACCTGATGTGTCTAGTAATAACATCAGCTGGGATCATAACAGAATTAAGTGTGCTTTCAGACTTCAGCTGCTTCATCAATGACCATCCATACTCCATCAAAAAATCTGAAGTCGGCATATTCATTGATGACTATACAAGGTCCTGTTCCATTCACATCTCAAGTAGCTAACCAATCCAGGCCCATATAATTTTGGCTGGTAAACAGCAAGTAATATTCATGCCACACAAGTGCCAGGCAATGGCCGTCTCAACAAGAGTTTCACAAGCTTTCATCAAGATGCAGCAGGTTTACAATGGATGAATGCTCCACCCACCAACTTTCTGGGAATTACTATTGACCAATAACGGAGCCGGACCAGCCACACGAAAGCTGTGTTCACAAAAGTAGGTGTAAAGATCTCATCTTAGTTTTTCCTTTACTTTTGGATTGTGCAATAAAGAAAGGAAGATACTATTTTAAACCAAAAAGCCTGTGCAAAGAGATGGTTACAGTTTGTGTGATCTACTGGTACAACAGAAACATCTAGCCTACAAAGAGAAAGCACTAAAATCTCTCTGTCTGTCCTGTGTGGAAATATCAGAAGTCTTCAGTAACAGGTAGCTGGCTTTCTCTGACCTTCCTCTGCAGATTCTGCATCAAAAGAAGAATAAAATACCTTTAAAAGATATTGATGATGAATAATTACCAGAACAAGTTCCAATATTATTTCATTACGTGTAGTGACCAGCGCAATGGCTAAACACTGTCCATAATCTGCGGTTAAAGTAATACCACAAGCAGGTATGAGACTGGCCAAAACTTTTCTTCAAGGATAAGGATATCTTGAAGGAGGTATTTGGCATGTCTTTATTAATGAAAGGTCAGAAAGCAGATCCTGAGTTGAACACGTTACCACAGTCAGCTCACATTGAAGCTGAGGCTGAAGGAGTCCCAGACTGCTATTATATTTTAGAGGAAATGGACGCACCCATATTATAAGAAGATACTGCGAATAACATACGAAATTCCGATGGCAGGACATTTAGGAATACAGGAAGCATTGATAAATAGGCATTTTGCCTGGTCAAGACTTTCTAAGGATGTAGCACAATTTGGAAAACATGCTCGATGCATTTTCTAAGTTGTTTGAAAATCTCAGCATAACTAAATCAGTATCTTTCATAGCCAAACCAGTCATTAAAGACCACTCAAGTAATAGTAGATTGTGTTGGACCATTATCAAACACAAAACAGGACACCTACATAGCCTTACAATTATGAATATGACACAACATGATTATTTCCAGAAGTATTCCTTTAATGACAATTAAGGCTAAAGTAGTAGGGAGAAAATTAATTTTTTTTACTCATAATAGTTTACTAATTGAATACATCTGACAAAGCACGTAACCTCTACCTCCTAAAGGACAGGACACCAGGTGCATTGAAACACCGCATGTTCCTCGACAAGTCCTGTGCACCATCCTGACTTGGAAAAAACTGCCATTTCTTCAACACCACTAGGTCAATATCCTAGAACTACATGAAGATCTCACGGTACACGTTCCCCAAAATCTAGGGTTGCCTGCAAAGAAAATCATCCTGTACTTACTTTAGGATCATAACTTGAACTGAATCTTCAACTGGACAGTAGATGTTCGCCATTCCTCCTTCGTTAACTTTGATTTCTCAATAATCTTCTAAACCTGCCTATAACTTTTGTTGTAGGTCTGTATCAATGGAAGCAGATCAAACTTATTTTAACTGGTTAATTTCCAAAAATGAAAATTAAGCTGCCCAGGGGTGCTTACCTTAACTCCAGGAATATGGGAAAAGAAAGCCTCAGGACTCTGTGAATGATAGAGTGATCCGTGACCAACACAGCCCCAAGGTGCTCGAATTGTTAAACTTCCACAGGCAAATAAGTTGCCAGAGCGATAGCGATACTTAGCAGCTTCATTAACAATCTGAAAATAAATCAGAAAACAGTGAAACTACAGTTTTATTTTAATGCCTTAGGAAATTTTCTCCGGAATGTATTTTATCTGTACGTGTGCAACAGGGAAGTAGAAGCCATCCTACAGTAAATGGCTGAAAGACTCAATATTGAATATTCAGCAATTCATAATTTGTTCAGTTAATGTTAAAATACAAGGCACACGGTGACTGGACAAAGTCAGTAGATTTGTTAACATCTGTGGAGAGAGAGAAAAAGAGTTAATGTTTCAAGTTCAATGAATCTTCTTTGTAACTGAAAGGAACTGGAAAATCATGGCTTTTATGTTGTTGAAAAAGGGGGATGAGTGCAGCACTTTCCGCTGGGGTGCCTCCAACTATTTCTTTTTTCCTCAACTGAGGATTTACCCACATCATTTACTGACAGGGCCCTTAGCCATCTCCAACTCACTTTCCACACTTCTGCCCTTGCTCCTCAGTAGCTCAGTGGCTCCTCCTGGAGCCAGTAAAGGTGAGTGTAGGTGGGGAGTTAGGATGGCGATTGGTCAGTCAAGGGAAGACGGACAGTTCACCTCCCACCAGTCTCCTCCCACCTCACTGACCAACGCCCACCCCCACCTCCTACCTACCAGCCTCATCCCCGCCTCCTTGACCTGTCCGTCTTCCCTTGACTGACCAACTCCCATCCTAACTCCCCAACTACACTCACCTTTACTGGCTCCATCCCCGCCTCCTTGACCTGTCCGTCTTCTCTCCTCCTATCTGCTCCTTTATCCACCTTCCATCCACCTCCCCACCTCTCTCTATTTATTTCAGAGTCCCGTTCCCCTCTCCCATTTCTGAAGAAGAGTCCAGACCCGAAACATCAGCTTTCCTGCTCCTCTGATGGTGCCTGGCCTGCTGTGTTCATCCAGCTCTACACCTTGTTATCTCAGATTCTCCAGCATCAGCAGTTCCTACTATCTCTAATACTACTGAAATGTAATAACTGTGAGAAGTTGAGAAGTAACTCCAGAAATAAGCCTTAATCTCAGGAGCAGCTGCAAGATCCAAGCTACTCTCAGTCCATCATTCTAGAATCATATCTTCTCTTCTAGTCCACTGTCAGCATTCCACTGGGACCACCCCTCCACTACACCCTGGTCCACTCCTTGCACTTTCTCATCCCTCTGTGAAACATTACCAAGTAATGATAGAAGGTGGAATGCTTGCCCTTTTACATCCTCCCTTCTCATAATCCAAACACACCTTCCAGGTGAAACAGCAGTTTACTTTGAAAATAGTCTGATGTACTTACTGCACACAATGCATTCTACTCTTCATTGGCAAGTATAAAGACAGAATGGGTGATCACATTCTAAAAACACCTTCAATCTGTCCATAAGAACAACCTCATCCTTCCAATTGTTTGTCATTTAAATGCACCACCTTGCTCTCAAGCTAACATTTCTGTATTGGGCCTGCTGCAATTCACCAAAGAAGCTGAAAGGAAGCTGCTGGAACAGCAACTCATTTTATGCTCAGGTATTTACAGTCTTTGGGACTCAACATCGAGTTCAAGAACTTCAGAGTATGAACACTGTTCTCCAACTGAATGACTTACATGGTCATCCCAAATGCTGACCTATTTTCTACTATTCATACCTGTCATGTACAAAGATTTTGCATCTAGAATTAGAATTAGGTTTATTGTCTACATCTCTCCTATGATACTATTAGCTCTCTCTGTCTTTTGCTCCGAGTATCATAATCAACTGTTCAATTCGCTTATCCTCCCCTTAGTTTTAATGCTGTTGACAATCATTCTCCAGTCCCCTTCAGTTCAAATAAGTGTCAGTGGAATTGAAACGTGTTTCTTTCTCTCCACAGATGCCATCAGATATCCTGACTTCCTCCAGCACTTGTTTCAAATCTCCAGGATCTGCAGTATTTTCGCATGGCAGAGAGACATCAGCTCAACCCCTTGATTCCCTACAAGAGAAGTAAAAGTGCAGAGGTAAAATAAAACAAAAATTTAATTTGTTACCTTTTAAAAAAATCACAAGAACTTTTTCCAAACTAATAGGAATGTACCAATGGCAAACTTCTGCATGTATATGCTCCTGATTTGTAAAACAGTACATGTAAAAGGAATAGACTGGCAAATAAAATGAAAGAAGTGCAAGTATTGCTGGAATGCTTTCAGAAAACAACGTTTGAAATGTAGTATACGAATAGTTTGAGCTAAGAGCACCAAACCCGAGAGGAAATGATAAATTTGAAGCTATGGTTCGCAAAACTTTCCATGTAAAGGTGTTTCCTTATGTTCTGTATAGGACTGTAGTAGATTAACTGATAGAGAGTGATCCTATAATTAAGCAAAAACTCAATCATCAATGTATTATGTGCCTTGTGACAAAGCAAAAAAGTCACCAAATCTTGAATGCTTATTTCCAATTCAAATATGTGTAGTTCAAGACTATCAAAAACAAAAGCAGAAAAAAGGTACAAAAAGTATAATGGGAAGACATGACTTGACGAAGGCGGAAAATTTTCATGCAATATAAGTGACCTCAGAAATTTGGCAGAACATAACCAAGTGCCACCTTATCCCAGAACCTGCTTCTCACTATCCCCTTTCACCATGTTCACATGTTGTGAGAAAGCAGTTTCATTATCATGATGGAAAGTCACCGGAATTGACAGAAATTACATTAAATATTGAGGTAATGTCTATCTGGTAGAGTTTAAAAAGTAACATGGTTATCATCACCACAGACTTTGCAGTTTGTTGGAACATAAAGAAAATTAGTAAATCTGCAGCAATTCACTAATTCCTTTTGATAGTAATAACATACCTGGTCAAAAGCCGGAAAGATGTAGTCTGCAAATTGTATTTCTGCAATGGCTGTGGCTCCTGTAACGGCTACACCAATTCCAAATCCCACAATGCCTTGCTCACAGAGAGGAGTGTTGAACACACGTTCTTTTCCTAAGGTAAGGTAATATTTTGTAACTACAACTAAATAACTATAAAGAAACATTAAAAATGTCAGAAGTATGATTAAATAAATGCTCTATCAAAAACAACTGTGATAATATAATTGATTTTTTTTAAAAAAAGATTTCATGTGAACCTATTCAGAAAACATTTTCAAACAAATTTTTTAACTTCTAAAATACAAGTACGGCGTGAGGTCTTACAAGCAGTTTGTTCCAGGAAACTGTTCATTAAATTTAACTTTTTTTTTATTCGTTCACACATTGTGGAAGTTGCTGACGAGGCCAGCATTTATTGCCCATCTCTAACAAGAGTCAGCTCCATTGCTGTGGGTCTGGAATCACATATAGGCCAGACAGGTCAGGATGGCAGTTTTCTTCCCTAAAGGACCCCCAATTCCCAAGTGAACCAGATAGGTTTTTACATCAGTGGTCAGACCGCCAATAGACCAGCTCTTTATTCCAGAATTTCAGTAAGTTCAAATTTCATTATCTGCCATGGTGGCATTCGAATCCACGTCCTCACAGAGTTAATCTGGGCTTCTGGATTGCTAGTCCAGTGACATGACCACTGTAACACGATATTGCCCGAAACTCCAAGTAAGATTATTAATTTGTTCAAATGGGAGAAACAAAATTACATGAATGCGACATTAACAGGGATTGAAATAAAACAAAACACTATTTAAGTTATAAAGCATGTTATTTTTAAATGACCACAACTCTCAAATACATTCTGCTTTAATGTAGTTCAAGATGGCATTTGGAAATGATTCATAGAACATAGAACATAGAACGTTACAGCACAGTACAGGCCCTTCGGCCCTCAATGTTGCGCCGACCTGTGAAACCAATCTGAAGCCCATCTAACCTAAACTATTCCATTATCATCCATATGTTTATCCAATGACCATTTAAATGCCCTTAAAGTGGGCGAGTCTACTATTTTTGCAGGCAGGGCATTCCACGCCCTTACTACTCTCTGAGTAAAGAACCTACCTCTGACATCTGTCCTATATCTATCACCCTTCAATTTAAAGCTATGTCCCCTCGTGCTAGCCATCACCATCCGAGGAAAAAGGCTCCCACTGTCCACCCTATCTAATCCTCTGATCACCTTGTATGTCTCTATCAAGTCACCTCTTAAACCTTCTTCTCTCTAACGAAAACAGCCTCAAGACCCTCAGCCTTTTCTCATAAGACCTTCCCTCCATACCAGGCAACATCCTGGTAAATCTCCTCTGCACCCTTTCCAATGCTTCCACATCCTTCCTATAATGCGGTGACCAGAACTGTACGCAATACTCCAAGCGCGGCCGCACCAGAGTTTTGTACAGCTGCAACATGACCTCATGGCTCCGAAACTCAATCCCTCTATCAATAAAACCTAACATACTGTACGCCTTCTTAACAACACTATCAACCTGGGTGGCAACTTTCAGTGATCTATGCACATGGATACCGAGATCTTTCTGCTCATCCACACTACCAAGAATCTTACCATTAGCCCAGTATTCTGTATTCCTGTTACTCCTTCCAAAGTGAATCACCTCACACTTTTCCGCATTAAACTCCATTGGCCACCTCTCATTCCAGCTCTGCAGCTTAGCTATGTCCCTCTATAACCTGCAACATCCTTCCGCACTATCCACAACTCCACCAACTTTGGTGTCATCCGCAAATTTACTAACCCATCCTTCTACGCCCTCATCCAGGTCATTTATAAAAATGACAAACAGAAGTGGCCCCAAGACAGATCCTTGAGGTACACCACGAGTAACTGAACTCCAGGATGAACATTTCCCATCAACCACCACCCTCTGTCTTCTTACAACTTCTGCCAATTTCTGATCCAAACCGCGAAATCACCCTCAATCCCATGCCTCCGTATTTTCTGCAATAGCCTACCATGGGGAACTTTATCAAACGCTTTACTGAAATCCATATACACCACATCAACCGCTTTACCCTCATCCACCTGTTTGGTCACCTTCTCGAAGAACTCAATAAGGTTTGTGAGGCACGACCTACCCTTCACAAAACCGTGTTGACTATCCCTAATCAAATTATTCCTTTCTAGATGATTATAAATCCTATCTCTTATAATCCTTTCCAACACTTTACCCACAACCGAAGTAAGGCTCACTGGTCTATAATTACCAGGGTTGTCTCTACTCCCCTTCTTGAACAAGGGGACAACATTTGCTAGTCTCCAGTCTTCTGGCACTATTCCTGAAGACAATGACGACATAAAGATCAAAGCCAAAGGCTCTGCAATCTCCTCCCTAGCTTCCCAGAGAATCCTAAGTTAAATCCCATCTGGCCCAGGGGACATATCTATTTTCACACCTTCCAAAATTGCTAACACCTCCTCCTTATGAACCTCAATCCCGTCTAGTCTAATAGACTGTATCTCAGTAATCTCCTCGACTACATTGTCTTTTTCCTGTGTGAATACTGACGTAAAATATTCATTTAGCACCTCTCTTATCTCTTCGGACTCCACGCACAACTTCCCACTAATGTCCTTGACCGGCCCCAATCTTACTCTAGTCATTCGTTTATTCCTGACATACCTATAGAAAGCTTTAGGGTTTTCCTTGATCCTACCTGCTAAAGACTTCTCATGTCCCCTCCTGGCTCTTCTTAGCTCTCTCTTTAGGTCCTTCCTGGCTAACTTGTAACCCTCAAGCGCCCTAACTGAGCCTTCACGCCTCATCTCTACATAAGCCTCCTTCTTCCTCTTGACAAGAGATTCAACTTCTTTAGTAAACCACGGTTCCCTTGCTCGACCACTTCCTCCCTGCCTGACAGGTACATACTTATCAAGGACACGCAGTAGCTGTTCCTTGAACAAGCTCCACATTTCAATTGTGCCCAGCCCCTGCAGTTTCCTTCTCCATCCTATGCATCCTAAATCTTGCCTCATCGCCTCATAATTGCCTTTCCCCCGCTATAACTCTTGCCCTGCGGTATATACCGATCCCTTTCCATCGCTAAAGTAAACGTAACCGAATTGTGGTCACTATCACCAAAGTGCTCACCTACCTCCAAATCTAACACCTTTGCAATCTTCTCCTCTACATCTCTGGAACTTTTCGGAGGCCTATAGAAAACTCCCAACAGGGTGACCTCTCCTTTCCTGGTTCTAACCTCAGCCCATACTACCTCAGTAGACGAGTTGTCATCAAACGTCCTTTCTGCCATCGTAATACTGTCCTTGACTAACAATGCCACACCTCCCCCTCTTTTACCACCTTCCCTGATCTTACTGAAACATCTAAACCCCGGAACCTGCAACAACCATTCCTGTCCCTGCTCTATCCATGTCTCCGAAATGGCCACAACATCGAAGTCCCAGGTACCAACCCATGCTGCAGGTTCACCCACCTTATTCCGGATGCTCCTGGCATTGAAGTAGACACACTTCAAACCACCTTCCTGCCTGCCGGTACACTCCTGCGACCTTGAAACCTTATTTATGACCTCACTACTCTCAACCTCCTGTACACTGGAGCTACAATTCAGGTTCCCATCCCCCTGTTGAATTAGTTTAAACCCTCCCGAAGAGCATTAGCAAATTTGCCCCCCAGGATATTGGTACCCCTCTGGTTCAGGTGTAGACCATCCCGTTTGTAGAGGTCCCACCAACCCCAGAATGAGCCCCAATTACCCAGGTATCTGAATCCCTCCCTCCTGCACCATCCCTGTAGCCACGTGTTCAACTGCTCTCTCTCCCTATTCCTCGCCTCGCTAGCACGTGGCACGGGTAACAAACCAGAGATAACAACTCTGTTTGTTCTAGCTCTAAGCTTCCACCCTAGCTCCTTGAATTTCTGCCTTATGTCCCCATCCCTTTTCCTACCTATGTCGTTGGTGCCTATGTGGACCACGACTTGGGGCTGCTCCCCCTCCCCCTTAAGGATCCCGAAAACACGATCCGAGACATCACGGACCCTGGCACCTGGGAGGCAACACACCAACCGCGAGTCTCTCTCGTTCCCACAGAATCTCCTATCTGTCCCCCTAACTATGGAGTCCCCAATGACTAATGCTCTCCTCCTCTCCCCCCTTCCCTTCTGAGCAACAGGGACAGACTCTGTGCCAGAGACCTGTACCCCATGGCTTACCCCTGGTAAGTCGTCCCCCCCAACAGTATCCAAAACGGTATACTTGTTTTTGAGGGGAATGGCCACAGGGGATCCCTGCACTGTCTGCCTGTTCCCTTTCCGTCCCCTGACTGTAACCCATTCTGCCATATCACCGTTCTAAATAAATTCCACAAATAGCAATATGGCACTAATTTGTTCCACTTTCCGCACCTTAATCAGACCATAGTGTGCCTATACTTTCTGTGCAAAACATCATTCTTCTGTATTGCTGGAAATTATTTGTACCATAATTTACAAAGGGTATTTTTTACAAAGTGTACTTCCAGGAGACTTAAGGCACACAAGTACATCAGTATAAGATGATTTTGCACCAAGTTGACACTGCAATTCTGATCTAAATTCAGGCTGAATCTAAAGTTAGGGCTGGACAGGGCACCAAGACAAAGTAGAATTAAATGGCCCAGTGTGTGAAGTCTTACTCTTAAAAAAAAAGACAACCAAAGAACTGTGGATGCTGGAAATCAGAAACATAAGCAGAAATTGCTGGAAAAACTCAGCAGGTCTAGCAGCATCTGTGAAGACAAAGCAAAGTTAACGTTTCAGGTCCAGTTACCCTTCTTCAGAAGTCTAACGACTAATTGCAATATACAGATTTTAGTAATGGTATAAAGTTGAAAGTATACATCAGCAGTAAACTTACAATGTAGACATAGCCTTAAAGTGTAGCTGTACTGATTTGACAACTGTATACATCATACTTGCAAAAGGGGCTGCAATTGCCCTGCTAGCCACAGACCAAACCAGGCTTGTCTAACAGGCAATCCCACCCACCAATGAGTCCTTTGTGGCTTTTCATCATAATCCAGGCATGTAAAACAAA